GCTAGGCCGCGGTTTGAACTCGCAAACTTTCCAATTCTAAGTTAAGTGTGTCCTGAGCACAGCTCCCACCCGTCTGGAAAGAATAGCTATCCAATATAGTGCACATGCCAATCTTAAAAAAAGCGAAGGGGGGGGGTAGGGGGGTCTGGTTGCGTGCTTTAATTTACGGGGGGCGGGGGGCGAAAGTCACAGTTTGGCTCGCTAATCGAATGAAGGGAGAGGGCGCATTCCACTGTTGGCGCTCGGGCTACCGGCACTGTACGCATCTGGAGAGTGGCACCAGCCAACGTGGACATCTGCGTTGTTGCAGCTGCGGCTTTTTGCCCCCTCACTCCTGCCTGCCCGTTGGTGACCAGCGTTCTTTGGAAAGGACAATTGGAGTATTGCGTTTTTTTTATAACGGCAACTTATCTCAGCCCCGTCGCCAGGCAGGCTTGGTCATCACGGATAGCCCTGGTGGTGTGCCGTTGGTGCAGTAATCATCGCAGTGACCCCCCCCCTAGATGTGGTCAAATATCAAGTGAGGAGCTCTCAATCATCGGAGTCTTTTGATCTAATGAGCAGTCGGGACTGAACTTTGCTACGACATCGGCGATCAATAAACGTTTCACGCGAGTCTCTCGTGAATGCTGTGACACCCTCGATGGGATCAAAGGTCATGAGCAGGTTTCCCTGGGAGTGCAACCTTTTCATGCATTTACATGCGTGCGATACGTTGCTCTGTATAGCGTTCTCCGCGGTGCATTGCTCGGCATCGCTCGGCGAGCCTTACACTGTGACATCCTGCCCTCAGAAGTGTGCGTGCACGCACGTGCCAGTTGGATTGTGGACGTGCGAGCGCGTGCCGCACGGTGGATTGTGTGACTTGTTTGCCTCATTGCTTTTGAGATAAATGACGTCTGTTCCTGTTTAACCGTGCATGCTTCATGCGTGCATTTGAAGTTCACTTTCAATTTATCAAACGATGTGCACACGGGTGCGTACGCTTGTCAAAGACTTAATTGTTGAATATATTCCCATGGTTGGTCATGCTCTTGGCCGGTGCTTAGTCCTAATTAATTTGTTCAAGGAAAACTATAATTGTGAATGAATGCGAGTGGTGAGCAAATAGGAGATTGGGAAGAATGTGACACCGCTAGTTAGTCAGAGCTGGAGTCTCGTTGTATTCTTACAAAAAAATATACATTTTGGCTTTACAATTAAACGTGACTTCACGTCCTACATCTTCCCTCGTATTCCCCCAACTTTTCACATTTCATCTTTCTAGGGGCCCAATGCAACGCCTTCAGCCTACAGGTTTGCGTTGGGAAAACGTTGTATCTAATACATTACACACAGAGGTTGTTTATATATATTACACAAAAACTCTATAACTCTTGGCTTTAAAGCTTTCGTGACTGCAGGGATTCATATTCTTGGTTCTTTCGGTAAAGTCACGTAGAAGGGAAACAATGAAATAAAATAAAAAATATATAAAACAATTAATTCTCATAACGTTTCGACTGCAACACAAGCAATCATCATCAGGTGTGGAAACCACAACAAGAACATTTTCTTGTTCTGGTTTTCACACCGGATGATGATTGAAGAAACATTTCTTGTTGTGGTTTTCACACCTGATGATGATTGCTTGTGTTGCAGTCGAAACGTCGTGATAATTTGATTGTTTTATATATTTTTTATATTATTTTATTGTTTCCCTTCTACGTGACTTTACCGAAAGAACCAAGAATATAACTCTTGGCTGTTGTCATTAGTGCCAGATGCTATTAAATGTCCTCACATCTAATGCAGTAGAAGTCGATTGGAAATCTCCCGACTAAAATGAGCGTGGGCCGGTGCTCGTCACAATCGGCGACGCTGAGCCAGTGTTCGGAATTCCATGTTACTGGGGCGAGGGCCAGTCGTTCCACGATACACCACTACATACAAACGTACGTACAGCTGTGCCGATGTGTTTTTATTTTACTTCGGCAAAAACGAGGTAACACATTTCCAGCGAGTGGCAAAAGCGTTGTTAAGCATTATTTTTATATCTATACACGGCCCCCGACAGAGCGGGGAGTTAGCTACGGCACACGCCATGAACGCGAGCCCCTCCGAGAGTGCGGTTACCACCGCCGCCGCCGCCGCCGTGAGTGGTGCTACACACAAGGGGCATTGGCTCCTGTACCCACAAGCCACCTGGATCTCATCCGACAGCTGCCCCCTCGAGGGGTAATTGAGCAAATTAGTTTCAGGTCAGGTGCTGGAGGCCGCAAAGGGCTGTGACCGGTGGGGGCAAGGGGCTCTGATGGAGATGGGAGTGGAGGGGGGGGGGGGTCGCAGTGGGCACAGGAGGTGGCTGGTGGGAGCCGGGGAGGCTGGTGCGGGAGGGGGTATAATTAAGGGATGGTGGGGGCTGCGAATTGTGATGTGGTCCGTGTACGGAGTGAAGAAACGAGAGACCACGGAGATGGTACGGCAGTATAGATGTTGGGATGGGATAGAGGTAGAGATCGGCAAGGTATACTGACCATGTTGGATCGAGCTCAAAATCAGGGGACACGATATGGATGAGGTTATGCGTTTACCCCGTGTGTGCGAGTGCACGTGTGTGTGTGTGAGCAGTGGTTAGCGCACTTTGCTCCACGGACCCGGTGACATGAGTTTGATTACTCACCACAGCTAACATCAGTTTGCAAAGTGATGCCAGAACCAGTCCATGGCCTCGCCTTGGTCAACTCGGTCTGAAATGAGCACTGCCTGGTACACTCTGTAAATATCAGCAGTGGGGGGAGAGACAAATGCGAAGAGGCTTGGCGCAGGCCGCTCCCTCGACCGCCGTGCCGGCGTTGACAGTGAACGTGCTTTGCACGAACGGAGTGCGATTCGCAAAGTATGCGATAGCCGTGGTGGCTCGCAAGGAGGAGGCGTGCACGGCGCGTGGCGGAGTGGGCAGGAGCGGTGCAGGTGCGAGCCGTTTGCTTCACGACGCTGGCACTCGAGCATGGAGCCAACATTCGTGCATCGGACGTGCGCTCAAAAACCCCGCAGCCTCGAGCCCGGCGCATCGTGTTACCAGCGCCGTGTTGATCCTGTCTCTCTCACATCTTAACATGGGAACTGCACATTGTCAAGGGTCATTGGGCAAGTTCACAATGTTAAGTTGCGTAATTCTTGGATCGGATGTCAAAATGTGTCATCCACTGCACGCACGTACGTGTCAATGGGAACGTTGTCGGCGGTGTGGGGGAGCGGTGGTGCCGCGGTTAGCGCTACGCTGCGCTACGAACCCGGCGGGCCCGAGTTCGATTCCCGCTCACGGCCAACACCCAGTGACGATTATCTGAACCGATCCTGGGCCTCCCCTAGGTCGACTCGGCCTCAAATCAGTACCTGGTGCGATGTGTAGACATCGCCACCGGGGAGACAAAGGCGGCGGGGCGTGGTGCTGGCCACCCACCCCCTCGTGTGTGTTATAGTGGTTTTTTTTTTAGTACATGCTGGTGAGGAGTGCAATCATGGTCAAGAATGATGCTGTTGTATCAATGTTTATGTTCAAGTGCTTTGTTGTTTAATGTTTATAACTGTTTAGATAAAATGGTGTAAACGGCTGGCTCTTAAAACTGTCTTGTGACTTTGAGGGGTAAACCATTTTTTCAGAGTTTTCCTAAAAGAGAATTCCAATGGATTTTTTTTTTTAATACCATTCCTCCTTTCACGTGAAGAGTGCAAATGCATGAACGCAATTCCACTTGTTGGCAAAACTAACATCCGCGTGAAAAGTAGTGGCTCGTGTGTTGGCCAGTTATAACACTACAGCCCCTAAAGCTTTCGCTGCTGCGATTATTGTCACCACGGTTATCCACGCTCGCTTGAACCTCCCAAGCAAAGCTATATCGGCGACGTCATGTGCACCGCCCGAATAAGCGATTTAACTCGGGCGATCCGTAATTAAGATGAGAGGGGAGTTGAGCGAATCAAGAATGCGGCACGTCGTCATGACGGGCACATTGGTGGTTGCATCGAAAGAAAACGGAGCGATTTATATTTTACGAGCGCCTAGTTTTGTGAAGAACTACGAAGGGGAAATGGTGCCAACGGATGCAATAATATTTCCGTGTCGCAGTCGATGGAAATACTGATCGCTTGGCTGGTGATGCTGGTTTTGCCCAGAATGAACAAACTGAACGCTGCTAAAATATTTACGGTTCAGGGAAAGGCACAAAGTTATGTTGCTTTTACCGCAGCTGCACCCAGTTTTTACAATATGGTGTGGAGTTTTTACCGCTCGTGCTGTTTACCGACAAAAATGCGTTTTGTTATGCAACCGAAAATGTGCTGTTTATTACTCGTTCACATTTTTAAAAAATTGTGCAGTTGAGAGATTTTTGTTTTTATTCTCTCTCAAGTGTGCACCCCTAATCCTCATCGCTTTGTTGTAAATACCATGCCATGCTGATAAAATATGTGGTCGTTATTGTTATTTTCTTTTCTTTTGCCAACTTGCATCTGTGTCGCATTTTGCAGTGCCCTGTGAGATTGACTACCAAGTCTCTGGTAGTTAACATTTCACAGTGGCAGGATGTGAACTACCTCGCCTGGTATACAGAAGGTTGTGGGTTCGAACCTGACCCTGACGCCTGCTGTATATTTGAAGTTTGCATGTTTTCCCCGTGGTCGGGTGGAATTTACAGTTTTTCCCTCCACCTTTAGAAACATGCGTTTAGAGTTTTTGGCTGTTTTATATTTCCACATGATAAGCCACTTAATTGGGCTATCATTTGTGGCCAGGTCACTTCTGAAAAAAGAGCTATATAGTTCAGTGGGCCTTACCTGGTGGAATAAAAACTATTTTTTGGTTTAGTTTTAGTCGATGGTGGTAAATGCCAGATCGTGGTAGGGGGGTATTTATATATCAAACTTTTTTTACACTCATTTTGCCGACTGGCCACTGACTTGTCCACCGTTCCCTACACACACACACCCCCTTCTCCCCGTCTCGTCGCCAACTTCAGAGCTGCAAGCATCGGGCACACTCCAGAACTTCTCGCTTCTGAGCAGAAACAACGACTTCCGCATCCTCCTGCTGGACGAGGACCAGGACCGCTTCTTCGTGGGAGCCAAGGACCACGTCGTTTCCCTGGACATGAACAACATTGAGCGCGAGCCGCTCACGGTAAGAGCGTCCGGGCGGTGGTGTAGGCGTGCTCGCGTCAGCCACCTCGCTTCCGAGACATTGCCGCCCTCTCGGAGTTTTCTGGGACGCTTCTGGGAAAAAACACACAACTCGTCCGCAATAAAAGAATTGCGGGTGGGGGATTTTCTTTTTGGAAGTAGAAACAAACGGAAGGGAAATTCCCGGAACCTTCAACGGTGAAATCTGAACGTGCCGCTCGGACGTCATTGTACTAATTCGAAGCAGTTTCATACAGTGCGACTGCTTCGTTGTTTCTGGTTCGTTTATGTAACTGTTCCATGTTGGCTGTGTATTGGGTAGGCTGGCCTCTTGCCATGGGAAAGTGTAATTTCCACCACCTAGGCTCGAGGCTGTCGGGCAGGGATAAACATTGACCGACTTTTATTCATTGATTGGTCGGCAACATCTCATTATAATCGCGTTTGCATCTGTGAAATAAAAATGGCCCATTGACTTAAAGCAGGCGCGCGGTCATGGGAAATACACAGTGTACCATGCTCGCACTTGGGACTGCACAAATCTGGCACCTAATACCCCCTCCCCCACGTACCTTCCAGGTGCGAGTCTTTGTTAATCAACCATGCCCGGGCAGAGTTTAGCGTTGGATTATAACAGGGAAATGCCACTTTGACTATGCACAAACAAGCAGTGGACTTTAATGGTAAAGTCGCTCTAATTCCACGAGCAGTTAAGTTTCCAGTAACCCAACACACGCAGCACGCTTGGTTCGGAGTCAAAGAAAATATGTGTAGGCTGGCACGGAAGTTTCGGGTTCAGGTCGACGCCGTGAGCAGGAGTGGGAGGTAAGCGTCTGCGTGGCTGTTTCTGTTGCGAGGGGGGGGAGAGGGTGAAGAAAATGGAAGGGGAAAAAACCTCGCAGAAGAACAGAACACTGAAAGCGTACAATAGCATCATCGGTTTATTTTTTTGTTTCATTGTGTTGTCGGAAGACTGGTTTAGCGGCACGATTTCATGAGCAGAGCGTGCGCGCGATATTTTGAAGCACACCCATTTTGTGTGCGCCCCAACTCTGCAGCAATAATCTGTAAAAATGAAAAATGCGCAATTACATTTCTTTTATACACTTCAGGAAAAGTATTTAAAAATTATTGACTGGGTCTAACAAACACTTCAATTATGCGTCTGCCAGTTCCTATTACGTTAAGCCTCAGCTATTTGTCAAGTCAATAATAATGCAATGACTGTGCATCACTTCTTTGCAAAATGCAATTGTGGAATGCATTGGATAAGCAAAATGTACATCCCCCCCCCGTCCCCTTTCTTGTTTATTGAAAGTTCTGTTCTATAAAGCGCACACCCATTCTCATCTGCTTATTTGTCTGGTGCAGGCCTACTGGCCCGCTGGGAGAGACAGCAAGGAGGAGTGCAAGCTGGCTGGCAAAGACGCAGAGGTACGTTGGCAATTGGCTTAGCGGCAGTGTACACTGTTTTTTTTGTTCCCAGAGTGAGACACTATCATCATCATCGTCACCATCACCGTTGGCTTTAATAACGACTTGGCCTGCGGTGAGTACTCTTGCCGTGGAAGCGGGTGAATGCTGCACCAAAATGTGTGATTCATGCAACAGCAGCCGGATCGTTGTAGGGTTTTTTGTGGTTATCGCCGCCGGCGATATAAACACACACGAGTACGATGGCGGAGGATTATTCATCGCGTCGCAAGCGCTGTTCACTTCCTCCACGAGGTGGAAAAATATAAAAACTCAGAGCGGTGTTTCACTCGAATCCTGGGATTGGATTTGAACGTGTGAATATATCTGAGCCTGTCCTGTGCGTGCAAATCACTTTCTCCAGCCCACGTCACAAAACCCGCACTCATCAGCGTGCTGAAGTACGGTCGAGCAGCCCGCACGGCCGACACGGCATGGAGAGGCCTCCTTGATCCAGCAGCTTATTTACTATGGACTGCTGTTTATTTCAGTTTAACTAAGCCCAGCGGGACTGAACGGATTCGCTTCTGAGTCATACTGATAAATAAAACCGTTTTACCGAAGAACAGCCTGGAATGCAGAAATTAAACTTTATTTTAACTTTATTGCTCGGCTCGATAGCTTTGAACTCCAAAATCGAGTGCCAACACAGTCGTGGAAATCTTTGGGAATGTCGTCTTTTTGAAAAAAAATTCAAGTCCTGCCAGCTGGGTGGTCTATAAAAAATATTAGTTTCACTGTTCCCCTACATCACTGAAGACCTTTTAGTAGAAATTTAATGGTGAACAAACATTAAAATGAGTGTCAGTGACGGGAGTCTACTTTGCAGCCTCAATACGTCTGTCAATCTGCTATCTTGTTACAATATCCACTACATATAAAAATAACACTTTCTTATAATTTAGGCAGTTGTAAGGAAAGTCTTCGGCTCCATCTTGGTTTTTCTAATCTCATCTCATAAATCATCTAACCAACCCTAACATTACAAACTTAGCGTCCGAATCGTGAATCAGATGTAACGGGGGGGGGGGGGGGGGCACACGATTAGATTGGCACGTTTTCAAACGCTCGCGCTAATATTTAGCTTTTTTACCCCCGTGGCAGATTTATTAATTTCGGCACGGTCATATGAACTGGCGCCGGCGATATAGGCCTCTATCCGATGACTTGTGCGGATGGCACCGTAACCCTAGACCCACGCGCGACCCCGTGAACCGGCCGCACCCCCTGGAGCCCGTCGCCCGCCTGAGCGGGCGCGTGGCACGGCGAGAGTCTGCGTGCGCGGCGGAGACAGGTGTGCAAATACAGCTGCGTGGGCAGTGCGTCCGCCCACCCGCCTGAACCGCCCGCCCGCCCGCCCGAGAGCTCGGAAGAAAAGGGGCACGGTGGAAAACGCCCCAGCATGTAGCGGCGTGGCAGCTTGAGTGCATTCTTGGGCAACCGTTGCGAAGCCCACCGCCGCCCTCGTCGTCGTCGGGGACCAACGCGGTGGTGGCGGCGGTTGTAAAGATGCTCGTTGCGATGAATATTTATCGCGTTCGGGTCGGCGACGACGTGAATTAGAGCGCAGGAGCAGTTGATGGGTCCTTGTAAGTGCTTCTTTAGTCACATTTGCAGTTAAATCCACATATATACCGATTTTCTTTTGACAAACTCGCACTGAATGCTAAATACTGGCACAGGCCAAAGTTGATTGACGGGTGTGAAGAAACCTTTGTGACAGCGGAGGGAGAGCGACTGTGCGATGGGGGGGGGGGCGGAAGGTTTAGGATGGCCGCATTACCGCTCCAGACACATGTTCGCCGGAGTCTACATCTCACGAGCAGCTGCGCATGCTTGCCATGAAATTGGCCAGCACCCAACGTGTCAGTCACAGCTGATGCAACACTCGAGCGGTCTCCCACAGACGTCCACTTTGCACTTGACTAGGCCGAGTTGGCTCGCGCGCTGGTCCCGGCGGATGCTCCTACACGGTCGATGTACGGAATCAATTGGGTCTCTGTACAACAGACAGTGATCAGGAGCTCTCCCATACGATTCGTTGATATGTTGGACCATTAACGTGCTGGAACCATTGAGAGACGTTAAGAAGAAGAAGAAAAAAACATCCATGGTAGTCCTTTCACGTGTTTCAATCGTGTGTCTAAACATGCCACATGACTCGGATGTCTATCACAAAATTGCGATTCAAATTCCCCAAAAGACGTGACATACATACACTGCTGTACGGGTTGTGTGCAAAGTTAATATAATGAACCACTTTACATCTATTTGTAGCCGCATCACTATACTGCAAATGTTAACCAATAATGAGCTCTTGCAGAACATTTTGTTACAGTTTAACACGTAGGCTTTCACGACCAATATTATTCATAATAAAGGTTCTTGGGTTAGATCGCGTTATTTATAAATGTGTCGTAACCCTCCACCACCCGACACGGCCAATCAGCAAAAAAGTGTCACGTTGACAAAAGACAAATAGTTCACTACTTTAGCCCATTGGTGTGTTGAAGAGTGAATCCACAACATTTACAGTTTGAGTACAGTTTGAGTACAATTTATGAATTATTTCCCACTACCTAATTTATCTAAATGCGCAAATACAATTAATATCAATGTACATCATTAGACCTCCTTTGCCAGTACCAAAATATGATAATAGGGTTTTTACCCTTTTTTCTGGCAACAAAACTGAAACGTTTTTACAAGGAATCATGTTGCTGCATTAACCACAATACTTGTGGTCAAAATGCAAACAAACGTCCTCTGGTCTAGCACCAATTGAGACGAGGCTCAAAAGAAAGCCGTCTCTGGTGTGGACCAATCAGTTTCAAGGACAATGCATCATATTTTCAGTGTTTTTTGTTTGCATTTTGACCACAAGTATTGTGGTTAATGCAGCAACATGAATCCTTGTAAGCAGGTTTCAGTTTTGTTGCCAGAAAAAAGGGTAAAAACCCTATTACTGTTATTAATATCGATGTGTCCTAATTGCCATTGTTGCATCGGGTGATCTTCATTCACTGATGTGCTGGCTGTGGGTTGCAGGTAAAAGCAACCGATGCTCGTGAACCGAACGTTTCCGTCGGTGATTGTTGACGTTGACGAATATAAGGACTAAACTATGTACTTATACACATACGTAATAGTTATTTTGCCTTTTGTATCATAATAGATGCTATTTATATCACCCTTTTGCTGATTTTTAAAGTGTTAGATGAACAGGACAGGTGACGTGCTATGTACAGCAACCATAAACACATGAAAAGACCTAGGTTTAGAATTTATGAGCAGAACTCTACACAATATACATAGACGTTAAAACGTAAATATCTTGGGAACAGTAGCCAATCGGTTGTTTTAATTGTCATAGTTGAATTCAGCACATCAAAATCCGTAATAAAGAGGACATTTCATCTCCGAAGCAGACGACGTCTAAAAAATTGTAGACCCGTGTATTTGGAGCGTCTGGACACCGCGTTCCAAGGGCCCGGTTGCGGTATCGGAAAGTCGCTCATCGGCACGTGGCTCGTGACAAGTGTCGCGGGCGACGGCGGTGGTGCCCTTCCTGTCCACCGACGCTGGCGCCTGAAACCCCTGGCGAGCTTTCTGCGCTACAAGCAGCAATTATCGTAATTATACCCTTTCGCAATATGCCGCTAAAGTTATGTTATTTTACCTATTCAGGTATGATCTAATGCTCAGTGAGCGGTGGTAAAGTTACTGTGCGAAGTATTACGTTAAATCGAACAACTTTATCAGCGGTTGCTTTTTGTTTCGGTAATGCGATGTTCGTGAGTTTAATATTTTATACAATCGGATTTAGCAGCTTCATTAACTTTATTGTAACCGAAATAATAACTCAAATGAAATAACTGTATAGGTACTGAGGCTCCCACAGTGCAGTGCACGATGGTGTGTGGCACAGTTTGGCACAGTTTGGCACCAGCTATCATAGAAGTGCGGCCGTGTCACTACAGTTCTCTGCGGTGAGTAACAATGTCTTTAAAAATAGCGGAACTACGCCTCTCTAAATAAAATTCGCGCTGAACTGCTTGCGCGTTTCGAGATTCAGCGGTGAACGGGACACCCACCCTGCAACTTCCAGACGTCTCAGAACGGGAAAGGGTTAACAAAAAATGAATTGATAAATAACACTCCAATCCAACTTGGTTGTCATGGCAACCGCAGTTTTTTTTCTTTAAATGTGGTTGGAATGAGTCTGTGATTTGGCTTCCCGTTCGGGCAGGTAGCAATTCTGAGGTCATCTCTGGGAGCACAGCCGCACACTGTGGCCCATCAATCAGGGACATCCGTGGAAATATTTTAATGTTTGCACCAGTGTTTTTGGCAGGCGAGTGTAATATCTCTAACCCCCCACCCCACCCCTCTCCTGGCACCTGGCACAGCAATTGAGCGTTAGATGGGGGTTTTTTTTACTCCTCTTCACGCAAGCTGCTCGCTTTTTTCATAGTTCATCCCAGGAACAATGAAAACCATATTTTTTTCTGAGCGGAGAACTGCTACTGGAATAAAATCTATTCCAGATTTCAGGTATGAGCATTTTTTTTCCTAATTTCAAGCTGAATTTGGATAAATATGATTTGCTGTGAACTAAAACACCCTTTTAGTTAGTCAGGTAAGTTTTTTTGTTTGTAATAAACCTGAAACTACAAGAGGGAAAAAACAAGATTTTCAGGAAAAATACAAATATGTATATTTAGTACTGTAAAGGCGCAGCCCTGCAGTTGCTTACTAACGGCACTGGTGGCCGAAGAGGCCGGCACTACAGGGAGCTGTCAAGGCCCCAGGGAAATCTTGATTTTGGACTCGTTTCCCATGCTGGCCAGGCGTCTTGGAAGAGGAGGCAGTACCCACACTTTACCCCACCACACACACGGCCCGCCGATTAACTGTTTTATAAACAAACACGCAAAATATATGTCACCTTTTAAAGGACA